TGCTACACACTCTTGCCAGGAAATCTCCAGGTTCCCTGCTGAATGGAGGGACAGGCTAAGTCTCCATCTTCACACCTGTCCCCCTTCCCCAGGCTGATCTATGCCGGGCTCTTCCTCCCTTAGCACCTGTTCTGATGAGCAGCTCCAGCCACTCAGGTGAGAAATCCCAGGAGTCGCTTTTGGCTGTACTTTTTCCTTCAACTCCCACCTCCACATAGCCACTCACCCTCTGCACCTCTTATGGCTGTTTCCTCTGCTCTACATGCGCTACAAAGGCATCCGGCCCTCTCGCTTACCTGAAACCTGCAGGTAACTTCCTAGCAGGTCTTCCTGCCCCCCTCCCTCCCTGACCCATCACCCACACTGCGCAGAGACCAGTCCTTGGATCTGCACTTGGGGTCCACTTTTCTCCACACACTGCACACTGTTAACTGACTCCTGCATCTCCTGCATGGCCTCCTCCTCTAGCGTCATTCCCTCCTGCCCCCACTACTTCCTCCTTCATCCACTATTGCAGCCCATGGATCACTCAACCACATCCATAGCACGGATGTCTGCGTGTTCATATGGGAAGCACCACATGTGTATGGAAACTCTCCACCGGCACGCCCATCCATCCCTCCTGGGTCACTGCCACCACTCCCCAAGGCCCCTCTCTCAGGCATCCTGACTCGTCCCTTGCCCTTAGTCCCTCACAGCACCAAGCATACCACCGTGGGTTGTGTCTTATTTCGTGCAACTGCTCCTCTCCACATCCCCTGAGGCCACACGGACCTCAAGGCATAGCACAGCATTGGGCTTTGCCTTGGTGCTCAGGGAATGCTTCTGCGTTGAAGGATGTGAGGATGAACAAAGACTGAAGTTGTCTCTCACCCACTGGACCTGAACTGCTTCTGGACAAGAATCTGGAAGCAGCTTTCATGCTATTTGACCAGATCAAAGGGTAGCACATGCCCATAGTGGCCTCCACTGTGGTCACAATATTAATCCAAAGATAAGTTCCTTGGCACCCTCCAGGTCAAAGGTGGCTAAGGGATTTCTGAACTCCAGAGGCAATGATGGTATCCCAGGTGCCAAGACTTAGTAGGGGCCACACTGTGGTCAACCCATAACAAGGCCTTTACCCTCTGAGGAGCACTAATGATGCAGGAGTCTACTTAACACTGCATGGGCTGGCATAGGGACCAGAAGGACACAGCACTTGTTAAGGCAGCAGTCACAGCAGCAAGCACACAGATGAGACAAAATTCATGCCTGCAACCCATACTGCCTGAGCACCTTCAACGTGCCAGGCTCCAAGAGCTGAGAGCACCAGCGAACAACCAGATGGAGCATCCCCGTCCTCCGACACACAATGAACAAGACAAAGCAAAGAAGTGTCCCCCGGGAGATGGTGCCAGGCACTCAGGAGGAAGACGGAATCGGAAGGAGGCTACCAAGTGGAGCTAAGAGGCCATGCGTGAAGAAAGGGCCAAAGGGAAACAGAGAGCAGAGGATTCCCATGGGGCAGATGCAGAAAGCTCCAGCAAGCAAGTGACTTTTGAGGTGGCTTCTTGAGGACAAAGAATGGCTTTGCAAGGGGCAGGGAAAGAGGTTCTGGGGTTCAGTGAGAAGAATGCATGCATGCTGGGGTGGGGGAAAGGGAGGAAGGTGGTGGAGCCAGAGAACTGTGTGTTTAGGGAGAAGGGACAGGAGTCATGGCTAGAGAAGCCCCAAGGAGTTTTCTGAGGAGGAGAATCGGTTTTCCTCTGCGGGCAACAGGAAGCCAAGGAGAGCTGTAGAACCAAGCAGCTGTGGTCAGTCTGGCTTGAGGGGGTCACTGTGGAGGCAGGGGCCAGGACACAGCCTGGGGCAGACCATGCACCGAGGGCCAGGTGGATGCAGCCACTGTGGCAATCTGAGGATGTGACAGTGGTCCCTCAGCATTCCTTACAAAACAGGAGCACGGCCTCCAGTGAGGCCACACACACCTGGGCACATCGCGCCTACTCCAGTGTTTACATACCTGAGACAAGCAGGTGTCCGCTTCAAAATGCTGCCAAGACGACAGCTCTTGTCAAACACACAAAAGAACGTTTTCACGTTCTGCAGCAGACTTCACAATTAATGCTGTTCTTTGGGGCTTCTGGGAAAAAGCACTATGATAGCTTTCTAGGCTCCTAAACTAACATTTAAACAGCATTCCTGATATGATGTTTTCTACTATTAGCTGCTTTCTGCCATACAGGCAATGAAGGCTGCGGCCAATAATTTTAAATGTTTGCATAAAATTTGGTGGAAGAAATAAGTTAGTGGTCACTGTCTGGTGGGAATGTCACTCACCCACTTGAGGCTAACCCCTGTCCTGCAAGGTGCCACACGAAAACACAACAAATGAAACTTGCTAAGTATTTTCCCAATTATGAAAGTGATATGTATCTTTCAGAGGTATCCTGAAATATATTGACATTTGTTTTAAATCTAATTTGTGACAACTCTCATTTATATTAGCGTAGACTCTCTCAACACACCCCAATTTGACCCTTGGCATTTGTACAGAATAAATCTAATCCCCACCCCACGGCACTTCAGATATCCCCAGATTGCTCTATCACTTTCCCCTTTAGGCTTTTCTTCAGAAAAAACAACAACATTTAATCTTTTTTCTTTGTTTTCTTGAGACAGCTATGTAATCCAGGCTAGCCTTGAACTCTCAGTGATCCCTCTGCCTCAGCCTCAGCCTACCAAGTGCTAGGATTATAGGTGTCGTCACCATGTCCGGCTGCATCAACATTTATTTTGATCATTGTTCATGTCTCTGATCCTTAGCGTGGTTTTCTTCATCTGAGACCTCTCTGGTCTGTCAATGGCCCTCTTAAAACATGGTGCATGCTTCAGACAGGGCTCAGTGTCCCTTTCTGTCTGCTCACTGTGTTTACTCTGGTTAATATTCCCTCCAGATACATTCGCTTTTTCATCAGTCACATCCAATTACTGGTTCAAGAAAGCTTAGGTCTCTGTTAAGACAGATGTCAGGCATCCCTTACTGACACAACTGATGTAACTAAGTTGTCTCCGCTAAATTTTACATGGTTTGTTTTGCTCCAATATCCGAGCCAATTAAGATCACTCTAAAGCCCCGCTCTGTCACCAAGCACATTAGCTAGTTTGCTGCTTCTCACATTTGGCCATGCACTGTACCAGGAACACTGGAGAGGAAGGGTCTCACCCTTCCCAGCTGGCATGGAGCCTTTGATATAGTCTGTCATTCCGCTTAGGTGTGCCGCCACCATTATGCCCTTGTGTCGTTACCAGTAGCTACCATGTGCTAGAAGCCATGAAGGTGACACTAGGGAACACTCCCAATGGTTCCCCTCTTTACATGTACTTAAGTCATCTCTTTAAAATGATAAAATTGGAGGGGAGAGGGCAGAAAGAGGGAAGAAGTGGGATAAAAATGATCAGGAATTCCCCAAACGAATGTAAATATTATGTATCTCATACACAAACCAATAAAAAACAAAATAGCACATAAATTATTCCTTTACTATTGTTTTGTGCATTTCTTATCCTTTATCATTTAGAAGTTTGTGAAAATGTCCACAATAAAACTTCAGGTGTACCCATTTTATTTTAAATGTATTTGGTTTTAATGCATGAAATGTATTTGGGAAATACTGTATGCTTCTTTTAAGTTTGAAATGCCCTGAATCTGTGACATTAAGATCTTTTTAATACCATTTCTTGCAATCTAAAGATTTGGTTCATTACTCTTCAAACATATCTCTTTTATGTCCTTCAGTAAAGTTTTACGACTACACTCACAACACACACACACAGACACATGACTGATTAGAGAAGTTTTACCAGTTGCTCCCAGTGGTTGACATCAGCTCACTGCTGTTAATGTCTCTCATTCTGGGCAACTAGAATCTTCACTCATCTCTGGTCTTACTCAGAAGCTGAATCAATTCATACAAAGAACACTCCCAGACCAGGACCCATGCCTATTAGCACCATGCTAAGGGACACACCAAGGAGCGGTAGCGGCTACACAAGTGGGGTCCTACAGCTGAGGCAACAGTGATAATAAACAGCATTTTCCACAATTCAGGTAGAATAATGAACACAATGAAGAAAAACATCAACAGATGCAAACTAATTTAGATTATAACTGTCCTGAAGAAATGTGGGGCTAAAACAGTAAAGCAAAAGCTAGACTATGCCTACAGCCTCAGTATCTCCTGGGCATGAGCCGGTAATGGGCCGCTCTCGCCGGTACCCACACCGGTCCCCCTTAGCCTCCTCCATGGAGATGCACCTGCCCCTTCCGGCTGTGTGGGCAACCCTTCCCACCCCGACTCCTGTCGGTTCTCTCTTCCCCTTCCATGCCATCTCTGCCCTGTGTCATTGTTCCATCAGGGGCACCCTCCCTGAACCATGGTGGCAAACTTTTCACAGCCATGGGCTGAAGAGGCAGAGTGGCAAGATGCCACACCATAGTCATGCCAGCTCTACACTGCTGCCTACAACTTTGTCACTGAACACCTGGAAAGTCCCAGTGTGAGTGGCCTTAGCAGGGACTCACGCCAGTGCCCTCCTCTGCGATGTTTTATAAGATACACCTGGGCCTAGAGCCCAAGCAAGGGTGCTCTGGTGCAGAACATCTGGGGCATTTGCATCACCTATGAAGTCTCACAAATGGTTCTCATCTGTGCTTCCGGTCAAGAATGAGTGTCTACACCAAACTAACTTCTCCAAACTAGCACATCATTACAGTTGCCAACTTCTCCCCCCTAGTGAGGGATGAAACTTATCTGTAAAAATTGATTCCGCTCCTCACATAAACAGGTGTTAGTGTTAAATAAGCTTTGGCATAAGCAAAAATTAAAGAGCTGAGAAGCGACTGTATCTCCCCCATGTTAATCTGATCTACAGTCAGTCTTGCAAGGTAGAAGAGAAACAGTTTAGCATTATCTTTAACAGTTAGGGTCATCTTTATGGTCTTATATTTTACTTACCGTTTCCAAACTTCTTAAATAAAGACGATAATTTGTGATGTAAACTCTTCCCTTAATGGGGCCATTGAAAGGACATATGTAAATAACTTCTTTGTCTAGTAAGATAAAAAAAGTACCCTAAAATAATGGAAATATATACCAAGATACACAATAAATGGCACTAATTTAATATTAACTATTCAGCCAAGAATAACTACAATAGAAATCACCGAAGAGGTGGAAGGCAAGCACTGGCAATGTTCCCACTTCACCACACTGGGTCCACTCAGGGCAGCTGGGGAGTTAATAGAGCGGTGTCACCTCTGGACGTTAGCAGCGCTGCCCTGAGCTTGCACAAGAGCAGATGCGAATGAGGGTAACTGCTGCTGCTACCTTTGGCCGGCAGTCAAGTGACTATCTGAGCTAATGTAACCAGAGGATGGCAATGCACCTGTGCAATCTCGGGGACTAACCTCAAGACTGAGCACTGAGGTTTGCCAGGCTCCAACCACACAAATATGAGGATGTCTTTAGTATGCCAGCAGTAGAGATCTGTCTACTCTATATTCTTTCTCTTTTAATTGTCCAGAGAAGAGTTTAACTAGACTCATTTCAAACATTTCAGTGACATAAAACAGATGGTCAAGAGAATAGTACATATTTGGTAGAATCAAGCATAAGGAGAAACTAAATCAGAAGAGCTAATTAATTAAAATAGAAATGTATCTTTCTCCTGTCTCTCAACGGTGTCCTTGAATGTGTTAATAGCTTTTCATTTTTAAAGTGACTTTGAAATCCCTTTCACTTCCGGAGTTAAATGAAGAATACAGACTGAGACTGTTCCGTGCCAGTTCAATGAGTTATTACCTTGGTTACTGTTTGGGCACGGATATCCAGCCCCAAAATGTCATACATGGAAGACTGTCAAAAGCAAAATATCTTCTTGCTCTTTTCCATATATTGAGATGGACACATCCCACTCCTTCCCTCTCAAGACTAGAATAGTGTCTCATGGTGCTCGGTAACTAATTCTCAAAAGCACTCTGCCTAGCACCTCCATCTGATCAGCACCATGTTTTAGCCATGTAGGCCGTACCCTAGATCTCTGGTACCCGAAACAGCGGTAACCTACTGAAGTGTGCAGGGAGGGTGTTGACTGCAATGCCAAATCGGAATGCCCACAGCATTGGCATTTAGCTGACAGGTGCTTCTGTGCCCTTAAGATGGAAAATTCTGGTCCTTCCAAGTTGATAAATTCGTCTTGATAGGAATTTTTCAAGAAAACACCACATCACAATTTTACCTTGAAATTACTAACTTCCATTTTCTGGCAAATGAAAGACTTTAAACCAATATGATCTTCTATTATCTCAAAGAGGAGAATATTTAAGCCTTTTTCAATTTGAAGGATATGTCATAGGCTGGAAAACTTAATATTACTTTGTCCTTATAACCTTAAAGCATGATACCCTACAGTTCTAGTCAAAGTTTTGCAAGAGATAATCCATGTTTTGTTTTTTTTTCCTAAATTATGCTTAGTTCTTGGTACAGTGACAAGAGTATTGCTATCCCTGTGACACAAGGCTCTAGAAGGAACTCTGATCAAGACAGAAATGCAGAGTTCTGTCCACTGGCACTTCTAGACAACGCTAGCCTAGCTCTCTCTGTCTTGCACAGAGTTAAGTGGGACTCAAGCCACCCGACCCTGCCACGCTGCTCATCCAGTTACTGGATCCTAGCATCAGAGGGCCCTTACCAGTAATCAGCATTTCTCCTGGGAGTCGAGGAACAGTTTCACTGAGATCTCGATTGAGCCCATCTCGAGAAGTCTGGAAACCAAGCAGAGGTTTCAGAAACAATGACATTATGTTTATACAGGGTCTCAAAACAGCATGGAATATAGCAACTAAAAATATACTTTTATTTTGAGACAGGGTCTCACTATGTAGTTCAGGATGGCTTCAAACTCACTACATAGCCCAGATTGGCCTTGAACTCGCAGCATTCACCCTGCCTCAGCCTCCTGAGTGCTGAGATGATTACAGGTATAGGCCACCAACTCCGATTTGATTTCTTATTTTGTTTATTTATTTATTTATTTATTTGAGACAGGGTCTCACTATGTAGTTGAGACTGACCTGGAACTCACTATGTAGCCCAGGCTGGTCTCGAACTCACAGTGATCCTCCTGCCTCAGCCTCCCCAGTGCTGGGATTATAGGCATGCACCACCAGGCCCGGCTCTTGAGTTCTTATTTTACTAAGATCCTTTCTAGCTTTTGACTTTTTCACCTTGACCAAGAGCCTTATCTTAGGTAAGAATGAACGGTCCATCAGAGAACTCAGTTTTGGTGCTACGCCCAGGCACGCACCCCATCCAATCACTGTGGCTGCTTTGCATGCAAAGTATTAACCACTAAATCTGGGTGAGTTCTAAGAGTCCAGCCGCCAGAGACAGCCTGGGACCTGGGGGCCTGGGACCCTACTACACTGGAACCAAGGAGGTATGGCAGGGTCCATCTTCCACATATGACACTTGACACTAGCACCTGTGTGGCCCAAGGGTTGCTTCACCACTAGGATCCTCCCCATTTGTTCCAGGTGCTTTTTCCAACCCACATGGCAGTCATTTCCTGTGCAAAGTCGGCAGCTCCTCCCTCAAAGGAACAAATACACCAGCACACTTTGGCGAGTTCTTAGGATTATCCAAATGGATATGGAACAAGAAAAACGGGCCGTGCATATTTAAGGGACACAGAATGTATCAAAGAGAGCTGTTTGGTTGGATTTTTAATGGTTTTATCTTTTTTTATTCAATACAAAAATTGAAAATTCTCAGCCAATTTTGAGTTGTTTAAATGCTTGCAAGAGCATTTCAGTTAAAATAGGGGAGGGCTGTGGGCATTCCCTTCCAGGAATGCCTTCCTCAATGAGAATTCAAGTCACACACCTTAGAGAAATGGTATGGGAAGCAATTATCAACCCTTAATCCTGCCTCCCACTAACCAAACAAGCAGAAAGGGCATAGAACCAGACCAGGAGGAGAGGATACAAAAATGAAACCCCCAAATAAGAAAGGCAATGTCTGATTGACACAGGATAATAAGACTGACACAGGATACACTGTATATCCAAGAACACTACACAAGGACTTATACACACATTCTTGAAGTTACTTTCACGTTTAGAACTCATTCTTATACCATAAAAATTCTAAAAGAAAATACAATAAAAGCTTATATAATCTTGGGGATGAAGAAGTTCCCCCACGGAAGCTCATGGAAGAAAACATAAAAAACTGACATATGTGATTATATAAAAACATTGAATCTCTGAATTTCAAAATCAAATAATAACGGGACCAAGAGATGGAAATTAGGGGGAAGGGGGAGGGAGGGGAGGGAGAAGGGCATGAAAACTGAATTAAGAAGTGTTGAGTGTTATGTACGCATGCCAACTCCCCACAAGGAATGTAACCCTTATGGTACTACAACCATGTAACGAAAAAAATAAAAATTACAAAAAGTAAAAGGCTGACAACAAACTAGAAAAATAACCCTGTATATTATAAAGTGTTAACTGTCATGATGTAAAGAACATTTATAAATTAAAAAAAGACAACCCTCCCCCAACACCCTAAAAGCAAATAGGCAAAGGACATCAATAGCCATGTCTCAAAAGAAATACAAATGAGTAATAAACACACTTGTTTTTTTAGTCAACCTTGTTAGTAATCAAGGAAGACAAATGAAAAGACAGCCTTCTGCTCCCTTGGAGCACTTCAGATCCTTTTCCGTATACTGCCGGGGGAGTATGAATTAACCTTTCTGATGAATAAAGCTTACTTTAAATTCACCCTTCCTTTCAATCTATGTTCTGAAATCTCCTCTAATTGCACAATTTTCCCCTGGCTGCACTAAACCATTTTCGGTTAAAGTCATATGTGTTGTAGTCTTGCAACTCTTTTATCCTCATAATTAGAAAAGAGTGCCAATATTTAGAAAGGCATAACTAAGGCTCAGTGGGCCTTGGCCTACCAACAGGCCTGGGACGGAGGGCTGCCTAGGACCTGAAATGTAAGGTCTGGCAGCAATTCCAAAAACAGCATCTCAAAAATGAAGTTATATGAAAAGGTACAAGAACAAAAGTCACTTCCCACATATAAGGTATGCTATCTAAAATCGTTCCTGGAATGACGTGGGATAATAAAATCACAAGTATTAATGTGAGCAGAGAATGAAATTGTAATTCGGTTACCTCCAAAGTACTGCCTAATATTCAAATATGAAAATGGAAATGCAGGGAGATTCAGACAAATGAAAACTCAACTTACCCTCTTAATAGATTCATTCTCCAATGAGTGTGAGTTATACTTAGTCGATGCAGAGGCCATACTGGAAACTCTAGCAAGAAAGACAACATTTTATGTTAACGAATAGAGATTGGAATTTCAAGCACATGTGACATCAGAGACTGAAATATTTCAACTGAGGGCAGGCAGTACTTCTGTGCAGCCCCTCTCTGCTTCTTAAGCCCCAGTGGAATGAGACGTCGAAAGAATGAACCAGAACACAGTGTGAACAAAGCTCTGCCAAAGGCTCAGGGAACCTGGAAGAGGAGCTATATACATGAGGAAGACACCACACAGATTCCAGGAATTTTTATTTCCAGCATTCACACTGGCATCTAAAAAACAAAAAACAATGTTTATCATTGTGCAACCAGCTTCAAATTTCGATGCTTTGTGATTTGTAAAGATAATTTAGAGGCAGCCAAGCAGAACAATAAAAGGGTGGACAATTTAACTTACACTGTTTTCTCCTTCAAGAAATTCTACTTTCTCCAAATGCAAGTAGTTTAATGGCACGGATTTGACTGAAATCAAATTAGCAAGATTTGATTTAAGGAGTATTTTCAAGGGAAAGTATATACTTCATTTAAATGATGCATATTCATCACAATTCAGACATAAATAAAAGCATATATTCAGAACATATACAAAGCCATTGTAATGCAAGTATTCAGACTTGTAAAGAGTACATTAACAAAAGGAAACTAGTAATGCTTTATTTTCTTTGTCAAAATTAATAACAGATATATATGTAGTCAGGAGGTAAACCATACCCAATTCAACAAGGTGATTGTGTTCCACAAGATTTTTTTTTTTTTTTTTTTTCCAGGCTACATCGAGAGAGTGGCTACTCCCCAACAAAACCCAGCATTAAGATTACCACCACACAGTGACATAAAACCTAGTGCTTAGACAGCCTCACACTGGCCTGAGAGAGGTGACCAGGATACAGAGCAAGGCAACCACCAGGACAGAGCCAGGAGATGGGCAGGTGAGGGAAATCTTACAAGATTAGGACTGCCAGGCTGCCTTCACACAGCACCTGTTCTGTAAGAGTGAGCCCGTGCCCATTTGGTTCGTGGCTGTACCATGGCACACGATGGCACGCACACCAATCTAGGGGATAAATATCGATTATTAATATCTAACATCTGGGAACATCATGATGGGACCAACGTGAATATTAGCTCACCAAATCTTGGAACTAGGGAACTCACTGGGACTTAAAACAACTAGTCAGATGCTGTGGTACTCTCCAGTAGCCTCAGCTGCTTGAGAGGCTGAGGCAGGAGGATTTCTGGAACCAGGAGTTCAAAGCCAGCCTAGGCAACAAAGAAAGACCCTCCCATCTCAAGAACATAGAACAAGGAGAGGGGGAAGGAGAGAAAAGAAACTGGAGAGGAAGAGGGAAGGGAGGGAGGAAGGTGGAGAGAAGGGAAGAGGGAGAGGGGAAGAGAGAGGAAGAAAGAGAAGAGAAAGAAAACAAGCAAAAATAATTGACAGGTACTCAGATTTTTAAAAACCTGAAATTACTAAGAGGTAGGACGGCCTAAAACTAAAAATAACTTTAAAATATTTACAAGTAGGCCAGGCGTGGTGGCGCATGCCTGTAATCCCAGCACTCGGGAGGCTGAGGCAGGAGGATTACTGTGAGTTTGATACCAGCCTGGGCTACACACAGTGAGTTCCAGGTCAGTCTCTACATAGTGAGACCCTGTCTCAAAAAACAAAAAAACAAACAAACAAAAAAATTTACAAGTAACTCCAAATGAATTGAATTTAGACAATATACTGTTATGCTTTGAAACCCCCTCTAACCTAAGTACATGTCCAATCAAGATGATCCACTATTCTCAGAGTGAGCATGGGGATGGACCTGCCCTGACACTGCCCTGTTGACTTCAACAAGATTCTGTACCAGGGTGTCCCCTCTTCAGTAACAGATATGAAATTCATTTTTAGTAATCCAATATTCTAATCTCCCATAAGCCAATGATTTAAAAACAAAGTTATTACTGTCAAGTCAACAAAGGAAACCAAATGTTGGGTTATATGGTCACCCACCCATTTTCACCTCAGCGTGTTCATTCATAAACCATAATGAGGAATTCTGTCATCTTCAAGCCTCGTGAAAGATTTCAACAGAATATAAAGGAAGAAAGTTCCTTTCCCGTTCATTTCTTAACTGTTTTATTGAGATGTAACTCATGCATAATAAAATTCACCCTTTCATATGTACAATTGAAAGGGTGTTTTGTTTATTCAGGACTGTGCAAAGAGCACCATAATCAATTTTCGAACATTTTCATCATTCCAAAGAGAAACCTCAGCACCCAAATATCCCAGACCCTCAGCAACCAGGAAACTGCTTTTGATGGCTATAGGGCTGTCCACTCTGTCCATCCCGGGCATGGTCACAGTCTGCGGTCATCAGGTTGGAAGCATTCACTTTGGAGTTACACCAGATACTGCTACTATTCACATCTGGGTCAAGTGCAAGCTGGACTTCAAGGGTTCAGGTGACACGGGGCAGTTCTGCGACGAGCCCTGCTCTGCTGAATGGCTTCAGCAGCCCTGAACTCTACAGACATGGGGCCAGACATGGGGCCAGACGGAGGGCCAGTTCCATTCAAACCCCACCACTGCCACAGAGTGATCTGACCTTAGGCAGGTTATTTAACATCTCTGGGCTTCTGGTGCTATTATTCCTATTTTCCTTCCTCATTGTAGGGCAAAAAAGAATGAGCTAATACATGTGAAGGGCTTAGAACTATTCTATGTATCCATTAAAAAATTATCAGCACTTTTTAATTATGAAAGGATCTTTGCTGAATGGCAATACCATAACCAATTCTTCTACAAATTAGCTGACCTTAGAAACATGAGACAGAAAGTTAATTATTACAGAGACAATGTATGACTGAATTCTAAAGCTTTTGTTTAAAAAATTTCATAACAATGGCTGAAATAAGACAATGGGAAGTAGTGTGGCTCCCCCCCATTGACTGGATGTGCTCACCTGTCTAGGATCTGACTGGAACTTACGAAAAGAGTTCGTCCACATCTTCATCTCTAAAAAAACTATACTGGACTAAATGCCGTTCAAGAATAGGTAGAAGTCATGGGGCTGGGGATTTAGCTCAGAGGTTCTTCTGCCTGCCTCACAAGGACAAGGATCCAAATTTGATCCCTGGTAAAAAAAAAAAAAAAAAAAAAAGTAGAAGCCAGAGTGAAATTTACAAAAACCAGCTGCCCTTTTGGTTTACAGAGCATTTTATTCCAAACTCCTAACAATCAAACTTAATCCTTTTTATTTAAAAAAAAAACATTGATTTTTGGCTACCTTGGCTTAAAAGCAAAAACTGAAGCTTAATTCCCTATATATATGCTAATTACAGGATTCTACACCAAGGTAGACTTCTATCATTTTTGATCCTTGAGAAAAACTTTGCAATGACTTAAGCCCAGTCCTCTCTGAGGACAGAGAAGAAGAGTCGGTTAGGGACAGGGCCAGCTCTACCCCAGGTCTCCTAAGACTGCGGTGTTCTTTCTACCTGGGGAAAAGTCTTCTAGGTGGTGTCTCGGAGGAAACCGGGTTGGCTATGGCTGGTTCCAATCTCAGTAGAACAAACATGGTGGCAATCAATCTTTGGGGCCTTTAAGCCCCTTCAAATAAAGCTACTTAAAGGTGGCATTACTGAAGAAAGCAGATCTTTTTAACGTGCCTAATTGTCTCTAAATGCAAGACAACTTCAATGGATCTTCTCTCCCTCCCCCCTCTCCTTCTAGCTCCTCGCACCTTTCAAATACTAACTGGTACTGTCTACCTCTCTAGCTGGGACACAAGCCCCCAGCAGGGTACAAGGCGGGCAGACAAGAATTCTTTGTTTGCAAATTTATTTACTGCCATATTCATCGCACCTGTAATGGTGCCTGGCACCAACAGGTACTCAGTAGACATTTGCTAAATGCATGAAGAACTGGACAATAAAGATCTGGCCAATATTTCACTTAGGCCAGAAATGTATGCAAGCTTATTAAATGGGGGCACAAGTAATCAAGATTTTTGAGGTCTGATGGCTCAAGGAACAGAACTGTTGTGCCAACTTCTGAACCAATCTGCACCAGAAAGGACCAGAACTGTAGTGTCCTCCACTACAGGCCTGTCCCATAAGGCAGATGTTTCAAATTAAGGTACCAAACCCTCTTCTCCCATGCCCTCTGTTTGGACTAAGAAATTGCTTTCCCCTTTCTGTTGAATATGAAAATGAGATAACACAAAACACCTGGAGCAGAGATCACTCCCCACACTCTAAAACAAAATGCAGGCCATGTTTATCCTTACTTCAAAAACTAAAAGCAGCAGAATTAAGAGTAATTCTGGCCTCTGCTTCACCACACACCAAGGGGAGCTCTATTTCCCACAGTCACCTGATTTGAGATCACTCGCCTTCTCTGAGTGCTTTTGCTGGACTTTCTTGTGTACAAGCAAAGCAGCGACAAGAGGCATGTGGGCTTTCGCTTTTGATCCTCCTTAATGTGATTTATTACTGTGTGTTGGCATTTAAATTAATTCCAACATGCTCTCTCTCCAGAGGGTCCCTGGATGGCTGTGGAGACCTCCCCAGTCTTCAAACGCAACTTCCAAAGTTATGAATAAACAGCCACTCAATTCAATATGCCAGGCTTTGGAAGGTAGCTCTTCTTGCCTCTTTATAGAGAAATATCAAATACTATACTTAGGGCAGGATGCTTGATCCTATCGGACCCGATACTCCCTTTGTTATAAAACAAAATTCTGTAAAATCCCCTTTCCTAGCTTAAGTGAGAATCATAGGTATTATCAATTGAATCACAATGTTTAAAAATCAATACACTGCCTTAACTCCAGTATATAGGATAAACAAAAGGACAATGATTTTTAATAAAGTAACATATTTTTCAATGCATTACACCCAAACCCAAGACACCCCTCCCATTTTCCATTTGGCCTCTAGGCAGAGGGTCGCCCCCAGTGGGTGCTCAGCTGTGCACTTGGGTGCCAGTAAAGCA